TTGGGCATTTGGTCTAGAAATGAAAGTGCAGGACCTAGCCTCAGTAGATGCCCGGTTTGTTCTGATAATTGTCGGAAATTTAATGCCTAGCTGTATTTCAAGGTTTAAAAAAGGTTATTTATCCATGAGATGCTCCTTTTTTTTTTTTTCTTTTTTTGAGACAGGGTCTCACTGTGTAATTGAGACTGACTTGGAACTCACTTTGTAGCCCAGGCTGGTACAGCGATCCTCCTGCCTCAGCCTCCTGAGTGCTGGGATTACAGGCGTGCACCACCACGCCCTGACGCTCCTTCTTCATTGTAAAGTTTAAGCAAAAAGAAGTCCCAACCAAGGGCCAGGGTTCTGAATTTTACTGTAGCTGCCTTCCCCTTGCTCTGGCTTTGGGAAAGCTATGTAAAAGTAGTAGTTTATGAGATTCGGTTCCCCCACCTGTAAGGTGCTGTCAGCCAGATACATCTTCATTCCCTCAGTTGTAGAATTCCCATATGTCATTTAGTCTGTGTGGCCTCATTGTCACAAGTAATTTTTTTCCGTGCCACAGCTGTTAGTCAAACTGGATAATTCATACCCAGTTTTCCTCTAGGTAGAGTGTTAGAATCTCTTTATAAAATTGATGTGACTTGTCCTTAAAGGCCACTGTTGGTGTTAAGGTACATTCAAAAGCCTGGTATTCACTCGCCAATATTTAAAGAACACAGGCTCTTGGACTATGACAGATATGTTTCAGGCTTCCTGTGTACTAAATAATTGGCTTCTTCCCACCTCCAAGTGGGCTCTTTTGTAGTGGGATTGTGCTCATATAGAATTTTAAGTTTTCTTGAGAGGTTGAGGCTGGAGGATCACCACTAGTTCAAGGCCAGCCTGGGCTATGTGGTGAGTCTAAGCCCAGCCTGAACTATATAGCGAAACCCTGTCTCAAAAGAAAAAAAAAAGAAAGGATTTTAAGTCTTTATATTTATTCCGTTGTACTCTATACTAGAACCGATGAAGAAGCATTTTAGTACTTTTAGTTTACCTTTTTTTTTTTTTTTTTTTGGAGACAGGGTCTCACTATGTAGTTGAGACTGACCTGGAACTCACTGTGTAGCCCAGGCTGGTCTTGAACTCACAGCAATCCTCCTGCCTCAGCCTCCAAAGTGCTGGGATTTCAGATGTGCGCCACAATGCCTGGTGTAATACTTTTAGTTTAGAGATGAACAAGTAGCTCCTTAAGAGGGTGGACCCATGATAATCCTTTCAAACTAGTCTCTTGCTTTCATTGATCATTTACTACTCACCTGGCTTTGCGCTGCCTTCACCCAACCCCAATCATGAACAGTGTCTGTACTTGGACCCACCTGTTGGAACTTTGAGGTGTTTGTTTTAGGAGAGAAGAGTGGAAGTATTAGAGGATGTTTCCTAACCTTGAAAACTTCTCTACCCCAAAGTTAGTACATCTGGGGAGCAGCTGTAGTCTTGGGCAGGTTGCCTTCCCACAGCTGTATTCCCTGCTCTTCCAGTTCTCCTGGCATTAGTCCAGCTGGGTCAGTGCTGTTTGCAGGTGGTTAAAGGTCAGGGAAAGTGTGCTTATGTTTTTGTTTTTTGTTTTTTTGGTACCGGGGATTGAACTTGGGTCCTTGCGCTTGCGAGGCAGGCCACCAAACCGCTGAGCTAAATCCCTGGCCAATTTTTTTTTCTTTTTTGGCGGGGAGGTATGTTTTGAAATTTGAGGCTTATCCTAAGGTTTTACATCTTAAATTCAGGATCTTCCAGCTTGTCTAGTAGGACTTTAGAATTGTACTTTTTGTTTTGTTTTTTGAAGCAGAGTCTCATAGCTTCGGTTGGTCTTGAACTCACTCTGTACCTCATGCTGGCTTCTAACTTGCAGCAACGTGCCTCAGCACCCCCTAGTGTTGGGATTACAGGTGTGTGCCACCACACCTGGCAAGAATCTTCAGTTTTTCAGAAATTTCTGCAAATTGGTCCTTAGAATTTGCTAAAGAAATTAAATGATTTAGATTTCTTAAAAAAAAAAATTAAAGACATTGCAGTGATACAGGGATATTTGTGTTTATAGCAGCACAAATTTTAGTGGCTAAATCTTGGAATCAGTCTACATGTCCAGCAGATGAATGGATAAAGTGTAGTATATGTACATAGTGGAGCACTACTCAGCCACAAAAAAGGATAAATTTGAGTACTTTGTAGGAAAATGGATACACCTTGAGACCATAACGTTAAGTGATATAAATCAGACACAAAGCTTAAATATTGCATGGTTTTTCTTATATGAGAAACTCAAAACAAATAAAGAACAAAATAAGAGATAATAGGAAATAGGGAGATAGATTTTTTTGCAGAATGGAAGGGGACTAAGAGAGGAGGAAGAGAAGGAGGAGAGGGGAAGGGGCTGAAAAAAGGATTGAAATGTGTTACGTACATGTACCAAACTCCCCACAAGGAATGCAGTCATGTACTGCAAACAAACCAGGGGTGAAAAATTAAAAAATGTAGACTGTAGACTGACCCAGTAGGAGGTCTTGGTAAGTAGTCTTACATCATACTTTTTTTTTTGCACCAGGGACCAAACTCAGGACCTTGTGTTTGTGAGGCAGGCAGCAGAACCACTGAGCTAAATCCCCAGCCCTTATATCATACTGTTTAACCACTGATGGCAAACCTTTTAGTGCCATGTGTCTAGTAGGTTTAAAACTACTGCTCTAAGCCTTTGCTAAGTGCTGAAGGGATTATATATGAATTTTTTTGTTTTTTGAGACAGGGTCTCCCTATGTAGTTCAGGCTGGCCTCAAACTTGCAGCAGTCCTCCTGCCTCAGCTTCCTGAGTGCTGTGGTTATAGGCCTGTGCCACCATGCCTCGCTTCTGTGTATGATCGAAGTGCATGTTTAACCATTTTTTGGGTAAGCACTTTTATGTTACTCTTGCATATTCATTCAAATGTTTGAGCGTATACAACAAGCATTAAAAAATTGCTTAAAAGAATATTGAGATAATTTCACCCATCTCCAAATCTTCAGAAGTGCTTGGAGTGTAGAGGGAATCATTAGGGACATAAAGGCCCAGATGAGACCACTGCTCTGGTCCAGGCGCACATTTACCTCACAACAAGTGGAAGGGTAGTGAGTGATTTAAAACAGAACAAGACAAAACTTATGTCAGGCACAGTGGCAAGCCCCTCTAGTCCCAGCTACTCGGGAGGCTGGGGACAGGAGGATTGCTTGAACCATGGAGTTTGTGACCAACCCGGCTAACACAGACCTTATTTCAAAACAAACCAGCCAAAGAAAGAAATTAAGAATTTTTAGGTTTTAGCACTTACAGGTATAGCCTTACTTAGTTCCTTATGAGTCAGAATTGTGTAGAATTTGTTGTTCTCCTGTTAAAGCCAGAAATGTGGAGTCATGTAAAAATGTGCATAAAGTAACTGGAGTGTTGTGTTTTGTTTCGATTTTGTTTTGTGACAGGGTCTTACTGTAGTTCAGGCTGACCCTGAACTCAGTATGTAGCCCAGTCAGGTTTCGAACTTGCTGTGATCCTCCTGCCTCAGTCTCCCAGTTACTGGGATTACAGGTGTGCACCACTATGCTGGACTGAAGTACAGTGGACCCTTGATTTAGGAACTCAGTTCATACCTGAGGGATGGTTGTAATTCAAGTTGGTCAATTGATGGCTCGGCTCCTCTACACAGCCTTCCAAGTCTCTCTCCTGTATACAGGCAGATTTCAGAGTCCTTAGAGAAACATTGGCCCAGGATTTCTTAATTAACCCTACACAGGAAAGGATGTTGTAATGTTCCTTCCAGAACTGTTCAAGGGTTAAATCTTTGTTTGTTTGGTACTGGGGATTGAATTTGTGTCCTTGTGCTTGTGAGGCAGGTGCCAGAACCACTGAGCTAAATCCTTGGCCTCTTCCAAGGGTTAAATCTGTATATGAGGCCATCTGGAAACGCAAGTGGCTGGCATTTGGGTTGTAACTCAAGACTTTAGTCGAAAGTTAAAACTAACATTCCATTCGTAGCCCAGGTTGTTCATGTGTCAGGCCAGTCGTAGCTCAAATGTCCACTGTATCTTGTGTTTAAGATAAATGTTTTTATTCCGTTGTGTTTTATCTGTTTCCAGGACCTTCATGATGAGAGATTTCGGGACACTTCTCTCTCTTCTGTGTAGTTGATAAATATCTGGGTGGTAAAGAGATGGCAGACAGTGTCAAAACCTTTCTCCAGGACCTTGGCAGGGTGAGTGTGCACCCCATACCTGGCTTTGGGAATAGATTTAGATTTATAAAACAGTTGTAAGACATACCCTTTATCAGCTTCCCAAATATTAATATCTCATGACTATGGTATATTTGTCAAAACTAAAAATGAACACTGTTACAATACTATTTACCTAAACTACTTTATTCACATTTATGTTGAAAAACTAGAGCCTAGCTTTTCCCTCCATTATATAAGTACAAGTGAGGAGGGTCTTATTACAAATGCCTATAAACATGTCTTTAGAGTTTAATCCCTCAGATTGTCAGTGTTACAAGGCTTTGTTACTTGTAGTGAGTATCTGAGGTCTAATGTCCCTGTTTTTACCCTTCTTGGTATATTCCCAGAAGTTATGAGTAGGAGGTCCTTCCTTTTGCTCTTTTTTTTTTTTTTGGTACTAGGGATTGAATTCAGGACCTTGTGCTTGCAAGGCAGGCGGTGGCACCACTAAGCTAAATCCCTGGTTCTCTTTTTTTTTTTTGAGACAGGGTTTTGCTGTATATTCCAGGCTGCGCTAGTCTTGAATTCACTATGCACCCAGGTTGACACAAACTCAGCATCTATCTACATGAGGCTCCTGAATGCTGGGATTACAGGAGTGCACAACTATGGCTGGCAGGAGTTCTTCCTTTAAGAAGAGATTAAAAGGATGTTGCCTTTAAGAAAAAAATGGAGAAATTGAAGAAGACCTGCAAAGATTATGCAATATGATACATTTTTATTTATTTATTGTATTTTTGGTACTGGGGATTGAACTTCGGACCTTGCACTTGTAAGGCAGGCAGCAGCACCATTGAGCTAAATCCCCAGCCCATGCTTTGAACACCTTTGCATTCCTTTCTCCCAATCTTGTCCTGTGAAATTTCAACCCAGGATTGGTTCTGCACTATGCTTTATGAATGTTTCTCTGTCCTAGATGTGTATGTCAGATATGAGGATCTGTCAGCACATAGTAGACCCTTCCATGTTTGAGTTTCATTTTTAAAGATTTGTATTTTTTTTTTAAAAATGGTACTGTGGGCTAAATCCAGAGCCTTTGCACTGAGCTATATCCTCAGACTTTTTATTTTTATTTTGAGGGTAGGTCTTATCAGTTGCCCAGGCAAGATCCTACATCTTCAATTTATTGGGGATAAGTTTCTGCCTACTTCACCCAGCCTCTGATTCTTTGGCACTGGCCTGTAGTATTTTTTAAGACCCTTAGGCAACCTCAGTCTTGTTATAACAAGAAGTTCAACTGATTAGCACAGTTGTGTCACCTTGTCTAAAGTAGTACAATCAGCAATGGCATCAGACACAACCCAGAAAATGACAAAACTTTGGTAACTATTAGTTTGCCACCTTTAATGGTATGAACTAGATTTGTGATTATATAACAAAATCTAAAATGAACCAGAAAGTTGTATGCAATGAATAAGCCCTCAAATGGTGATTTTTACCCTTAAGGGAGAAGATATAAAAGGGATTGGGGAAAACTTGGAGAAATAGAAGAAGAGGAAGAGATTAGAAGCAAGGCTGGAAGACAAAGGAAATTTTGGGAAACAAATTTTGGGAAACAGGTGAAAAAGACACAGAAAGAGAGAAGGAAGAAATAAGTATAGTTCCACTGAAGTTCAGGCTGGTATGCAGCTATGATACTAGAACTTGATTTGTTCAGCCTGCAAGACTCTGTACCTCCTGCTGGCTTGAACTTGGCTCTGTGACCTCTTGCTTCCATGAACTCAGTACCGTCATGACACTGGGTGCAGCTAGATGGAGCTGGGCTGTAGCTGTTCTGAGTTCAGTTGACCCCTCTCCAAGATGTCTACCAGCCATTCACCCTCTCCTGGGTGATATCCGAACCCAGATAACTCACCAGCCATTGCAGTCCACTGCATGCACTGCTCTGTTTCACTGGTGCGTTTCTCCGATGTTACCAGTAGTAACTGCAAGTTCAAGCCACCCTTCTTTTTTTTGGTACCAGGGATCTAACTCAGGACCTTGCTCTTGTGAGGCTGGCAGCAGCACCCCTGAGCTAAATCCCTGGCCGATATTTTGTTTTTTTCTTTCGCATGCTTGTAATCCCAGCACTCGGAAGGCTGAGGCAGGAGGATCGCAGTGAGTTTGAGACCAGCTTGGGCTATATAGTGAGTTCCAGGTCAATCTCAACTACACAGTGAAACCGTCTCAAAAAACCAAAAAAAGAAAGAAAAAGGATCTCTCTATGTAGTCTAGACTGGCCTTGAATATGTAGTGATCCTCCTGCCTTATCCAAGTGCTGAGATTATAGGCATACACCACCATTCCCAGCCTGAGACTAGTGTTTTATTTACTCCTATATCTCTGGATTTCACATAGGCACAGGAAATACAACAGGTATTAATGGATACTAAAGGCAGTACTTTGGCTTTATAGAGTCGGTAATTATGGAGAGATTAGAAAATTTTGGCCGCCATGTTATTCAAGATTGGTTTGAGTAAGACTTAATGGATGCTAAATGTAGAGGGGAGAATTTGATGAACAGGATATATGCATAGTCTCTGAAGTGCCTTCCTGTGGTTTGCTTATAGTTGGAAGAGGAAAAAAATTTCAGCTATACAGTGGAGAAGCTGGGGTTGTAAAATTATAACCAAAAGGGTAAATATCAATCATATGCATCTTGATGTGATAACCTTGAAGGGGACACCATCACTTCTGTGATACTCATGCAGGAAGGTGCTTAACCTGGGTCTAATCATGAGGAAACAAACTAAAGCTCTGAGGAACTTCGGTAAAATAGCTGCTTCAAAAGAAAAGTAGGTATGGTGGCACACTTCTGTAATCCCAGCACTCAAAGCAGAGGCAGGAGGATTGCTACAAGTTTGAGGCCAGCCTGGGCTACATGGCAAGACCCTGTCTCAAAAAAAAAAAAAAAAAAAAAA